ATGTTGTTTGTTCTCAGACTGAAGGACTCACTTTAACAATTCTAGTAAATTTTGTTTAGTTTTTACATAGTCCCTTAATTTCTGTTTATCTGGAAATGTCCTAATTTAAACATCACATTTGAATGAGAGTTTTGCAGGATATATTATTCTTGGCTGGCAATTTGTTTCATTCAGGGTTTTATATATGTCATACCATTGCCTCTTGCCTGGGTGGTTTCTGGCGAATAATCCGAGCTTAGTCTTTTTGTTTCTCCTCTGTATGTGACTTTTCAATTTTTCATGCTACTCGCAGGATTCTTTCTTTGTCTTTGGTTTTAGTGAGTGTGATTATGATATGCCTTGCTGATTTTCTTTTAGGGTCTATCCTATATGGGGTTCCTTGAGCTTCTTGGATGATCAGATTTTCACCTTTCATGATATTGGGGACGTTTTCTGTCAGCAGTTCTTCGATGATCCTCTCTGTGTTTCTGTTTTATCCCCCTGTTCTGGAACTCCGATCACTCAAAAATTTTTGCTTTTGATTGTATCCCACATAATTCTCAGGGTTTCTTCATTTTTCTTTGTTCTTTTTTCTGATTTTCTTCAAACAGAGTTGTATCCAAGTGTTTGTCTTCAATTTCACTGATCCTGTCTTCCATTGTTTCAAACCTGCTCCTCAGCCCTTCTATGACACTGTCCTTTTCTGAAATCTTGTTGTTTATCTTCTGGATTTTTAATTGTTTTTGTATGATTTCTAGCTATGAATTTATTTTGGTATTTTATTCCTGTATTATTTTCCTGAATTCTTCCATTTTCTTGGTCTGTATGTTCCATAAATTTGTCTATTTTTTCCTCATTTTTGTCTGCTTTTTGCTTCAACTCTTGGATAATTCTGAATATTAGAGATTTGAATTCCTTATCAGGTACTTCTGGTGCCTTTTCTTCTACTGGAAAGTCATCTGGTGTTTCATTTTGGATACCAACTGGAACCATCCTGTCCTGTTTTTTTTTTTTTTTATGTTTTGATATTGTCTGCCATCTTCAGAACATTCAGTAGTTATTTTCCTCTTTTGTTGATTGTAGATTTGTTTATTTCATCCAGCTTTTTGTTTTATTTGGTTATTAATGAGCAGGCAGGTTGTGTGTTCTTTATTGTTTGCTTGTCTGTGGGCCCGATACTTTTTGCCTTCTTGTCCAATGGACATGACTGGTCACTCAGCTATGGTGCAGCATGCAGGTCCAGCTGAAGGGGAGTTGCTGGGATGGGTTGTTTGTGGCACGTACTAGGGCCAACAGGGCGTATCATGAGTCAGTGCAGGGCAAGTTCCAGTAGGCGGTGCCTGTTCTACTTGTGGGTGTGATGTTCTGTGTACAGTGCAGTTAGGCAGGGAGGAGTGGGGAGATTGTGATGTGTGGAGCTAATATGGGTATGGGAAAGAGGAGAGAGAAACAGGAGCCAAATTAAACAAACAAACAAAAAAGAGTGCTAAAGGAGCTTGCCATTGGAGTGTAGAGATGGGAGACTGACAAATGTAGAAAAACAAAAAGAAAAAATAAATAAAAATTAGAAAAAAAGAAAGATAAGCAAAACCCCCAGGGATCCACCAGTGCGGCTGTAAAGACTGTGGAAGTGGCTTCCAGGCCACGAGGTACAGCCTGGCTAGCAGGGATAGAAGTGTCACACAAAGCCAGGTAATCAGGAGACAGGAAGAAGGTAAGTATAGAGAGATGAGAAACTGAGAAATGAAGAAATACAAAAAAGAAAAGAGAAAGAAAGGAAAACAAAAACAAAAAAAGAAATGTCCCCAGGGATCACACCACACAGCTGCGCAGACTTGGGAAATAGCTCCCAAGCCACACAGTACAGCCTGAAGCCACACAGTACAGCCTGGCTAGAATAGGCTCTCAAGACAAGAAAAGAAAAACAAACAAATAAAACAAAACAGAACAAATCAAAACAAAAAACCCAAAAAGCCCTGGGAAACCCACCAGTGTGGCGGGGCAGGCTGGGAAGCAATTCCACAGTCGAGTGGCATTTCACAGCCTTTCAAGAAGAAGCAAAGATGGCACATGGAGCCAGGTATTTGAGAGAAAAGTGGTGAGAGGTATGGAAGAAACCAAAAGAAGCAGAAAAAAGCCACAACAGCAACAAAAAAATGGCACACAGGGAGCTGGCCAGTGTGGGCGGGTGGAATCCAAGTGGCACAGGACTGAAGCTTGTGCCTCCCAGCCAAGAGACTGTGGCCTCAGGAAGCAGAGGAGCTTCAGTGGGGATGAAGAAAGGTAGGCGGTGTGAAAGCATATTTCGCTGGTTACTGGTTGTTCTGTCTCCTGCTGGGAAGTCCGTGAAGCTGCTTTCCCATACTCCCTGTTTTCTGATCTCTGACAGGAGGAGTCCAAGATGGTGAATCCGTGCTGGGTTAGCTAATAGGAGATCTCTGTTCGTAACCCTCCTTGCTCTCTGTTCTCTGTCAGTTTCTTATTCCATTCAGTGTTTGGCTGAGTTCTTTATCTCTTCATTTGATACTTAGGGTTTCAGGATTGACATTTGTCTCTGTTTGACTTAGTTTTTCAGGTGTTTGCTGTGGAGGGACAGTGTGGTGCTTATGTCTATAGCACCGTATTGGCCGGAAGCTCACCACTTGTGAATTTAAACATAATTGTTAAGGATCAGTAGAGGTTTCGCTCATCCTATTGCAAAGTAAACAATTGAAGAGTCATACAGGTGATAATAAATAAAGCTTATCGTATTAATGGCTGACTTTTCCATGTTTTCATTTGGCTTTGCATATAATGAAGTGCTTTCCATACATGCATTTTAGATATGTTGTATATAGTTTACAGAAACATACCTATCCACATTAATTGTAACATGGATAAAATACACAAGGGGAAAGAGATCATTCTTATCCTCAAATCTATAAAATCTGTTGTTTCTGTTCTGCTCTGTTTCCTCCTCTTATCTGGAATAAGGAAAACCTTTAATCTCTAATATCTTCCTTCTATACCTGCTTTTAAAAGGAAGCACTGAAGACTACAGTATTTTACCATATACTTGTATAAAATAAAATTTTAGTTCAATGTTTCCATACTTGGAGTTCATGTATATAGCCTGTAGGCAATAGTTGGTGTTTTCTAAAAATACTTTTTCAAAAGGCTTTCTATCTTATCTCCTTCTGGCATTTAAGTAAAAATGGGAACAATTGCTGGAATATGATATTTTATAATGGCATGTAAGAGAACTTTATGTCCATATTGAATCAATTGTATTTGGAAGAACAAGGCATTACTCTGACATGTGCAAGAACACCAGTCAATAGCTACATTTTGTAAAATGTTTCACACATATCTTAATGGCTTTAATAAGTTTATCACAAAATGGCTGTGCCAAGACTGGGGCTTCCTTCCTTCAAGTGGACATTCTAAATCCACAGGAATTCTGAACTTTTCAAAATATAACATGTAAAGTAATATTTTTCCTATAAAGGCAAAATGTTAAATAAAAAGAGCAAAAAAAAGCTAATAACAAGGAATATATACTAATACTGATGTTACTTATTCCATCTAAGGATGTAAGTGCATTCATTTCCATAATCAATAATGTTCTCTAGGATTTAAAAATAAATGTAAACAATTGGATCCATATGTCCTGAGAAATGTTTTCCAGAAGAGGGTCATTGCTCTCTACAATTTCCTCTTAGCAGACCATTTCGTATCTATCATCCTTGAATTTGTCAAATCTTGAGTATATTCATGCTTTTGTCAGCATGCCCTTTATATCTGTGTTTTCTGTCTCAAAGCATAAGATCATAAAAGAGAATTTTAAAACAAAAATTACACGCTGATAAATACTCAAAATGTTTGCATATTGAACATAAAATCAAATTTATATGTGTTTCTAGACCTTTTTTCTTTAGTTGACTGTTCCAAGTTTCAAATATGTTTCTTATGAAATAGAACAGTTAATGGTTTAAAGACACCAACTTGTCATATATACATTTTATGATCCAATCAAAGATAATGAAAGTTTAATTTTATAGAAAATAATACTTATTTTTAAAATGCTTTAAGTAATAAATATGTTTACTTAATTACTCTGATTAATTTATGTTTAAATTATTGACAAATATAATAGTGTCTAAATTGTTAAATCTTTATGATTATTGATAAGAAGACATTTTTGCTCTGCATTTTAATGATAATGATTCTAGAACTTTAAAATATGAAAATTTTTTACTAATAAAAATTGGAAGTTTGTACAAATGAAAACTGAAGAAATGAAAAAGCAGTAGAATGATGAAAACTTTATTAATCTATATGTCATTGGACTATATTATTGGACAATTATATTAAGCTTGAAATGTAACAAGTGCACATAATTTCAAACTGATTATAAATAATTTACAAGGTGTTCCAGAATTATGAAAAGGGGAAATTTCTTTGAATTGAAGCTATATTCATTTTTATTTTACCATTACAAATCTAGGAAGTACTGAAATTAGGCTAAATATTTATCTGCATTAATTTTTGGTAATTTGAAATGTTTCTCTTTACCAAACATCTTCATGAAAATTTGCATTTAGGAAGCTAATAAATTCCAAATTATTTATGAATTCTTCCTGGAAATGCATCGTTTGGTCTTATTTGTGTTTTTCATTATAATTATACTCTGAAATATTGCCTCTCATGAATTACTCAAAAGCCTTGGAAAATGTTGACTCCAAAATTATGTAAAAATTGTATATTTTCGTGGCCTTTTGTATCCTCATACTCATGTAGATTGTGGTTAAGAGATACAGCTGCTAACCAAAAGGTCAGCAGTTTGAATCCACAAGCCGCTCCTTGGAAACCCTATGGAGCAGTTCTATTCTGTCCTATAGGGTAGCTCTGAGTCGGAATCAACTCTGTGGCAATGGGTTTTGTTTTGTTTTAATAAGCAATACAATTTTTTGTGCCTTCTTTTATATAAAGGATTTGAACTCTTGCCCTTGACTTAAGGGTTTGCTCTTTGTTCTGATACTTAATGGAAATTAAATACCATTCTAACAAAACTGTAATCTTCTTTTGCATAACTCTTTAAGAACAATGAATTAATATTTCTCAAACTAGAATAAAATCATATGTAGGATTAACAGCATTTGAAAGCCATTTCACTATTTATTATATATATTTACCTTATACAATACTCTAAATAGAACAATACCCAACTAAATATATATGCAGAATTTTTTTTCTTAAACTTTGTGTAAGGTCAGTAAATAAGAAACATAAACTTTGCTGCAAGGCAAGTGATGTCTTAGGAGGAAGCCTACCTCGGGATTAGTGTCACCATCAGGTTTTCTGTAATGATTTCTTTACACGGAAGCTGAATCTTTGCTTTGAATTACCCATTATAAAATGTCTTGTTTAAAAAAAAAATTGCATCATGTTTATTAGATTTTTCATTTGTTCCCTTCTGACTGTGTTTTGCTCTGTCAACTGCTTATTAGAAGATTTCCCTTGAGAGAAAATTGAGCTTCGTATCCATGCTCATAGATCACAGTGTGAATACAACTTGCCGCACTCCACTTGGCAGGTAGGAATATCCGTGAATAACACTAGAATATAGTTGGCTTCAGTTCCTGGTGTTGTCCCCTGAAACCGCTTCATTCCTATATCACCTGACCTAAGCAACAAGGACATATTTTAAATTTGGCCTGCCTTGAATTGCTATATTACAGCTTTTTCATAAACCTCGAGTGTTACTAAGGTGACAAAAACTGCTTCTTTTTCAAAATATTCTATATGTTTGGGTGAGATGTATATGTGAAGGTAGTTACTTGAATTACAAAATACTGACAGCACTATTAAGTACATTTGTCCTATGAATAATTTCCACTGGGTTTTATGCCTATTTACATCCAAACTGCATAAAACTACTGCATTCATTTTTAAAAGACAAACTGTTCTTTCCTCCCTATTAACTGAAACATCACTTATTGCTTATATTGTTAATATACTAAACATGCATTTGAATATGATCGCTGGCCACATTTCATAGCCAGTGGTTCAAGAACACAGAACACACACTCCCATCCTGATTAGCTAGTTCCCTATGACTGGGGGAGGGGGAGGCGGAAGCAGCATCGGTAATTTTTCAGCTCATTAGGTGCATATTCATCTTAATGGGGCATCAGAGTTTAAAACTATATAATGCATTCCTCTCATTTAATCCACCAGAGAATATACATAGTAACCACATGAAAGCAAAAAGGATTTCAACACTCTGAAGCTGCCCAAGCAGGTGTCATCTTTCCCTTTAGGCGGAATGGAAATGGAAACTTGATTAGTCCAATTCTGCCTCAGTAACCCCTTTGCTGCTCCCTCACCATCCGGAGTGGATGTATTAGCAGAGTATCACCTCAGATAAAACACAAATTGAATTGCCCTCGCCACATTTTCAGAGGGTGGGGTTTGGAGGGAAAGAAACATGACCTAAGTCATATTTTCTCCAGTAAAAGTATTTTTATTCCTTCTCTCCTCACAAATTTATGAGCACTGTTTTTACATAAAACACTCTGCTGGATGCTGCAGAGTATCAGAATCCCGAAAAGCATTAAAAGAGGAGAGAACAGTGCTTTTGCATTCTGTCTGAACACACTCTTAAACGAATGTTAGACTTTCCAACCTGCTCCTCACAGTCTAACTTAACTGGATATCTAGTAAATTTGTCATTTAAAAATTATATTTTGCATGCTTGTTTTTTATGCTCAGATAAGAATAATCTCTTGTATTAGTTTTGCTAAGGAGCTATGGTTGCATAGTAGTAAGCACTCGGCTGCTAACAGAAAAGGTTGGAAGGTTCGAACTCGACAGCCTCTTCAAGGAAGAAAGATGTGGCAATCTGTCTTCATACAGATTACAGTCTTGGAAACCTTATGGGGCAATTCTTTATCCTACAGGGTCATTATGACTTGGAATCAACTTGGCAGCAACAGGTTTGGTTTCGGTTATTAGTTTTGCTATACACCCACTCCTCACTTATCAACATGGTTAGGTTCCAAAGACTAGGGCTTTATTTGAAAATCGGAGTTACTCGAAAATGCGAAAATGAGCATCACAGCGAGGCCAGTGTTGGTAGCTCACTTCAGCTGGAGCCACGTGGGGCCCAGCAGCCAGGTGGGCGCAGGGCCAGGAGTGCCGCTTTGGCTGCAGCCTACCAGCAGGTCATACATCTCCATGCCGGCATTGGCCAGGGCGAGCGCGGCCGCCATAAATGCGAGGGCCAGCGCCAAGTTGCAGTCTCTGAAGGGAGTTGTAGTCAAGGACTCAGGGCCTCTTGGCTGGCCATGCTCTTATGCAATTTGAATTCCTAGTCTGGACACCTCCACTCGGAAGCCTCTTTATGGAAGGCCTTTGGCAGAGGCCTTTCTCAGTTATCCCTGCTGAAACCTCCTTATTGCGGAAGTGGGGAGGAAACTCGAAGACACTTTATTCTAATTCAGTACCCAATACTTTTTCACTTTTAGCCCTTCCCCCTTGCCCTCCTCCTGACCTAAATCAAAACCAAACCCATTGCCATCAAATCAATTCCGACTCATAGCGACCCTATAGGACAGAGTAGAACTGCCCTACAGGGTTTCCAAGGCTGTAATTCTTTACAGAAGAAGACTGCAACATCTTTCTCCCACTGAGCAGCCAGTGGGTTCAAACTGCAGACAATTCGGTTAGCGGCAGAGCACTTTAACCACTGCGCTAGCAGGGCTCTTCCTCCTGACTTACAGGTCCATAAAACAGCAGGAGCCTTTTGTTCAGCGCTCCCTCAACAGTTAGACATCCCTCTCATATTCAGTGATGCATCTGACTCCCATCCAGTAGTGTCATTCCATGGGGGATATGGGAAAAGACGAGGAGCTGGCATTTGCTCTAATTTAACCTCTTGCTTATAATTGATTGAGCCTCTTGCTTATAATTTGACTGTTATTTCATTTCAGCTTGTCCATATCAGCTACCCTGATACCTGGCAGCTCATCTCAGCCTTCTTAGCTCAGTTCAGCTCTTGACAATTTTGCCATGGCCAAATTCTTTCCCTAAAAACCCCATATCTGACATTATCTGCATGGGTTTGTATCCTAGCACTGCCATTTGTTAGTTGTGTGATTTAGCCAAGTTACTTTGTTCTCTCATCTGTAAAAGTGAAATAATGATAGCTATCACATAAGTGTTTTTTTTTTTTTTGATAGTTAAATGGGTCAATATGTGCAAAGCACTTAAAATAATGATAGGCAAATAACAAAGGTTTATACCTGTTATTTATTCTTCTTATTATCCAGCCTAGAAAATGTATATTCATCTTTGCCTTTCTCCTCTTCACTATCCCAAGAATCTACCTGATATTCTGGCATAAGTGAATAAAAATCCTATCATTTCTTACCACAGATTGGGTTCATCCCCTGCATTCTCTCTACCACAAGCTCTATTCACTTTATACCTTTAATATTAGGGTAAAGCCTCACCACTCTCCACCAAAGCATCTATGTTGCATAATTACAGTGCCTGGCCAGTAGTATTAATGGCATTTGCATCCTATAAAGCTTCCATTTTAAAGTGAGAATGGACTTTATTTTCTACAGTGCCAAGTTATGCACTTTTCCTGGCTTTCAAGCTCATTCAATTTGATCCTCTGACCTATAAACCATGTTTTCTTACTACTCTTACTTTTGTATGCAAATAACAAGAGACCCAATGTCAACTGGCTTAAAAATATGAAATGTATAAATCACAGCAGTTTGCAGGGCGAGATTTAGAGTCAGTAGATTCAGAGGCTCACAATGTGATAACTCAAGTTCTTTATCTCATCCACCAGTGTTGGCTTCATCCTAAAGCTGGCTCTTCCTACGAGAAGAAGGTGGCCTCATTCTTCTTTGCCGTGTCATTCCTTAAAGCACTAGTACACCTGCCTTTCATTTCCCTGGCTAGGCAAGAGAATTGGGATTACCATGACTTATTTTATTATCAGCTGGAGTGGAATTAATAGTGAGAATTCAACCACAGAGTTTACTAGAGGTGCTGAAAGTAGTCAAAACACACCAAATCCATGCTAGTTGATTAATGATTAAAAACCTGATTGCATTACAAATTTGTAAAGTAGGAAAGGATCACCTAAGAGTTACTGAGATTCTGAAATTGGTAAAGCACAACTTGTCCGTTTTCATACATGATAGTGAGATATTAGAAGGTGATTATTCTAGGAGACAAAGAGATACAAGACTTAGTCCCAGCTTTACCATTCACTAGCAGTGCAGACTTGGTAGTTACTTACTCTCACACACTCCCAGCTTCCTTGGTTATATAATAGAAGTGATTATAGAACACAATAGGCATGATGTTTTTCATATTTGATGGAAAAATGCATATGACTTACCTAGTCCAGCATTGGTACATAGTAAGCTCATGATAAACCTTAGTTTCTATTTTCAAGATAAGTAAATCATAGACAATTAACGAAAATGATATAGAAATGTGTTCTAAGTTAATGAGAAATCTAAATGATAAAATACTCTTTAATTGATTAAGAGTTATAAAATAAGCCAGTTAACAAGGGGTTTCCTGGTGAAAAACATTGAGAAACCTATTACAAGTGCAAACTAATGATTTGTAATGGTCAATTTTGTGTTTGTCCTTTTAAAATTGGTGATTCTAACAAACAAATCTGTGTAGTCTCAGGAATTCAAATTTTCACCTTGTAATTGAATAAACAAAGAGCTCCCTCTTCTCCACACCCCCATGCACATACAGGTAGTTCAAAAGAAAGCATCAGATCAGCACTGTTTAAATTATTCATATATTCTCTATTATGGGTCTGAATTCATGTGGTTCTAGTGCATCCATTTAGCCTACTGCTAGTCACAAGTCTATACTTTAGATTTAGTCAACCTGAAGCATTGATCAAAAACAATGACTCCGTTCTTCATGATTTCCCAGCAATCCATATCCTGGGTGCATTACTTGAAGCTGAGATTCTGTGCATCCTTAAAGCATTTCTTCTGCTTTCCCTGCTTGAATTTATCCTCTTCAACTCCCAATCCAAGAGCTCCTTGGGGATCCTACTGCTATCCCCTCTTTACAAATCTCCAGCCCAGCAGTATTTCATTAAACATCACCTCAGTACTGGCTGGCATAGACATTGTGGAGGGAAACCTTGTCCTCTATTTGCATGCATTTGTTAGAGCTCATGGGTGATGCTGCTCAAACAGATAGATTAAAAGTCTGGGGATATTTCACTTTTAAAGACATTGAATACCACTGACATTACCACCACTTAGTAGATCTTTAGTCTGCAACTTTGTATCTCTCTGAAGTCAACCCCCCGACCTACCACAAAAAAAAGTGGCTCTCAGTTTCCAGCTCTGTCTGTGGATACAAAAGCTTTGATGCTGTGTGTGAATTCAGTGCGGTAAACTAGTCAATAATGTCTATATCTGAGTTTGTCATCCATACAGAATTTTGTTGTAACTTGGTAAAGTAAATCTTATGAATTTTATCTTCTTAGGCAAAGATATTAAGAGGACAGAAATCAAATTTTAAGAGGACTTTGAATACTGTCTTTGAAAAGTTAATTTTCTAATATATACTGTTGAATTTCCTTAATTCTGGAAAAGAAACAAACAAGAGTTTTAGTAGAAACTTAAAGTTGGAAGGGTCACTAGTGATCATTCATTCTAAACTCTTCCTTTTACAGATGGAAAAACAGAAGCTCACAGTTGCTTGCTCAGCATTAAACACTTTAATATTATTAACACAACTATGACTATTACTAAATATACATTGTTCCAGCAATCAAAGTAAGGAAAAATCTTTATTCAATGTATTCTCAAATAATATGATTATGGAGACAGACAAGAATATAGCTAATCTTCCACAGTGGTTGACAGGAATGAAGGATATATAAAAGCAGGTTTTTTTTTTTTTTTTTTTTTTTTTGGTAAGCTTACAAAAAACAAGAATGTTAAAACTGTTAATAAAAACACTTAAGGATATGAGAAAAGAATAAAATAAAAATAAAATCATAAAATATGATTTCAATTAGGTAAATGCATTCAAAGTGAAAATAAAAGATATTTAAAACCAAAATTGACTATAGCTAGTTTTGCTTTCTGGAGTTGGGGATGTTGTGAGGTGGCACAGTTTATATCAGTGAAGAAGCAAATCTTGTTATATCTTTTTTCTTACAGGGACAGAAGTGGAAAAGAAAAAGCATGAAACTCAAAATAGATCCTGTATCATTAACCAGACGCACTGAGAATCTGGAATTGTGAACAAGAGGGGACAGCTACTTTGCTCTGCATAATAATGTATAGGAAACTTTCTGGGAGATGTTAGAGAGAACTAGAATGGGAAGGGCTGAGCAATATGATGGGAGGCCAAAGCCTGAGATTAATTTTAAGTAAGAAGGATCCCTGGTGATGCAACCATTAATTGCTCAGCTGCTAACCAAAAGGTTGGTGGTTTAAACCCACCCAGCAGCTCCACAGAGAAAGACCTGGCAATCTACTTCCATAAAGATTACAGCCAAGAAAATTCTATGGGGCAGTTCTACTCTGTCACATGGGGTCGCTATGAATTGAAATCAACTTGACCTTGATGATACCAAACAACAATTTTCAGTAGTTCGCTCTTCTGCAATATGAACGTCTACTATCTCCCCCACCATCGGTAAAGTCGGCTCCATATTCAAATGTACGTAGGTGGCTATTGGTGAAATCAAGGAGAAGTGAGTATCAATTCTAAGTAGAAAGAAATGAATAACTTCTAATGGTGAAATGCCAGGGAATTTGCAGGTTGGTACAAGGATAGCCTGAAGAGAAACAGAAATGAAAGAAAAGTCCGACCCTTTGGGACCGTGTTTCCTAGTTTTAACATTTTGGGGGTCATTTTCTTTTTTCCTTCTTTTTTTCACTTTCAGTCCTGCAGCAGAATCTATGAATTGACCACCCTCTCCCTCTTCTTTCTCTGCTCTCTTCCTTTTGCCCCACTTTCTATTTATTGCTGTTATTGTTGTTGCTAAAGATTTTAAACAAATATCTGACCATATCATTTCAACCCTAAACATTTCCATATGCATCTTTTAAAAGTAAGAACAGTTTTATTAGCAAAATTACAATGCCATTACCACACCCCTAAAATCAACATTTCCTTAATGTCATGTAAAACTGAGGCCAATTCAAATGTTCTCAGTTATCTCAAAAATTTATTTGGAATCAAGATGCAAGCAAGGATTACTCATTGTAATTGATTGTAAAGTCTCCTTTTTTTTTTTTATTGTCTAAAAGATAAGCATTATTTTTCAGAGCCATTGTAGGTTTACAGAAAAATTGAGCAGAAAGTACAGTTTCTGTATATTTCCTCTACCCTTGCCAACAGTTTACCCTATTAGAAACATTTTACATTGGTGTAGTGCATTTTTACAATTGAAAAACTAATACTGATACACTATTATTAACTAAAGTCTATATAGTTCACTCTAGGGTTCACTGTTTGAGCTGGATAGTGCAATGGGTTTTGACAAATGCATAGTGTCATGTATCCACCATTACAATACTATAGAGAATAGTTCCATTGCCTTAAAAATTCCCATTGCTCCACCTATTTGTCTCCCCTTTCCACCCACCCCAAACCTCTGGCAACCACTAATCTTTTTACTGTCTCTATAGTTTTTACAGTGGCTTCTTTTGCTTAAATATATGCATGTAAGATCCCCCCCATGTCTTTTTGTGGCTTGGTAGTTAATTTATTTTTAGTGTTGAATAATACTCCATTGTGTTGATATGCCCTAGTTTGTTTATTTATGCTTCTAATGAAGGGCATCTTAGTTGCTTCCAATTTTTTGAAAATTTGAATGAATCTTCTCTAAACATGCATATGCGTGGCAGTTTTCAGCTCATTTGGGTAAACACCTAGGATTACGATTGCCAGATCATATGATAAAATTATGTTTAGCTTTGTGAGAGGGTGCCAGACTGTCTTCCAGAGCTGCTGCACAATCTTGCATTTCCACCTGTAATGAAGGAGAGTTCCTATCCTAAGCCTCCTTTAATCTGGAGTAATTTGATCCACGCTTTTTTCTTTATGTTTAATTTTTTGTTAAAACCCCTTTAACCAAAAATACCAAACTTGTTGCTGTCGAGTCGATTCCAACTTATGATGACCCCATGTGTTGCAGAGTAAAACTGTGTTCCATAGGGTTTTCAAGGCTGTGACTTTTCAGAAGTGAATTATCAGGCCTTTCTTCTGATATGTCTCTGGGTGGGTTCGAACTGCCAACTTTTTGGTTAGTAGTGGAGCACTTAACAGTTTGTGCCACCCAGAGAGTCTATATTCTGAATTTGTATGATTGCTTCTTCTTGGTGTCCTTTAGCCATGTACTTCCTATAAACTGGAAATTAGCCTAAGTGTTCATTGATTAAATTAAAGTTCAACTTCTTGGCAAAAATACTGCATTAAAAAAATAATACATAATTCTATATGGGTGCTTCATATTGCATCACATAAGGAGGCACCTAATGTCTGGGAGTATCACTAATCAATGTGTTCAGGTGATGGATTAAAGGAGAGCTTTTTAAAAGATATCAGTATTTCTCTTTGACGCTTTGTTGTTCACCAGTCTTTATTCTGCCTCCTCTCCTTCCTTCCCACCGTTCTTCATCTCATGCAGGCATGACTTGTGAAGGTTCAACAGCCATCTTTTAATCATGAGGACACAATCCATAGGTAAAACAAGGAGATAAAAAGGGTCTGGGTACATTATGGCTCTGTGAAGGCACATATGATCTAGGACCAATGTAATCGTTGATTTATTATTGTGTAAAAGAAATAAACCCCGTATTTGTTAAGCCATTGTTATTTGAAAAGCTAAATGCAATGCTAACTGATTTAATGTTTTTTTCACATTCCCCGCCAGCATCACTAGTGGTATAAGCACCAGTACAACAGTCCTCTCTGTATGCAACCAGCATCTATTCCAATCAGTCAGCGGCCATATCATACTGGTCCTTTAATATCAAGATTTCAAAGCCATGCTCTGTGCCTCGACTGTTTAACTTTTAAAATGTAAGCATCGATGTATCTGCTTTATAGTTTTTTGTGTGTGCATGTTTCTGTAAGAGAGAACTACATAAAACTGTACAAGCAAAGTAATTCAGATATACCATAGCACCTAGTATGTAATAAGAAGTGGAAAAGCAATAGCCGTTACTCTCTTTCTATTATCCCTCCAGATCATTGAAATTAGCCATCAGGGTAAGGGAGTAACTGATATTTACTATCACTGAGGAGCCTCAGAGTCATTTTCCTTGTTACTTATTACTGAGGTATTCTCTTGTCAAGATGTTATTACCCAAAATTTTGCACAGGAACCATTTGTTCATGAAAAGAAAGGCCACTGTAATGCAGAACCAGAGGCTGAAAAAATAGTAAATTATGTGTTAATACCAAGACAGAAGTCCAAAAAAGGAGGCAGGGGAACCTATTACAGGCAGCTCGATCCATACATGTCACCAACAGTTAAGTCTATGTTGTTCCATGTAAATCTGTAAATTAAAACACAAGGCCAAACTAAACATGTGGGACAGCTGTGGCAGAGTTACAGCTGCTAGTGAGAATTGTGAATTTATTTATTTATTTGTTTTATTGTACTTCAGGTGAAGGCTTACAGAACAAATAGTTTCTCATGAAACAG